CCTCACATTCTCAAATCAAAAAAACCCAAAAAAATTATAATAAAAAATAAACGAACATAACCTCCTATCTACTAGTCCAAACGCGGTGCATATGGTTTATCTCTAGAATCTTTCCTTCAGATGCCCTGTTTCAATCAGCCAGGTGGTCCAAATCTCCCAAAAAGGACAACCAAACTTGACCCAAACACAACAAGACTAAGGGCATAATTGTCAATTCACACATGCACACGGAAACAACACGGAATGACTTCAATTAGGACCTGCATGAGTCACCACCTCCCTCCCAAGAGAAAAATTATTCATTGCCCCAGGAAGGTTTGCTACTTTTTGACTCTTTACCCCAAAGCAGCCTCTCCACCCGTCCCCATATCTATCTATCTATATCTCTCTCTCTCTCTCTCTCTCTCTCTCAACTTTTTTTATTTTAAAATAAATTATGAATACATCTTTAAAGTTTATTTAAAACATAAATTATTTTTATAATTTTAAAAATTATGAAAGTGATTATAATTTATTTTTATTTAAGAGTCTGTATCAAATTATTTGGTATAATTTTTATTTCTAGTTTTTTGACAAAAAAATAGTTTAAATAAATTAAAAAAGATTGAGAGTTTGTTTGGGAAGAAGGTTTGAGCTAAAATAGCCATATAAGACAAAATAAGCTATTTTAGTCAAATAAAATAAAATGTCACATTTAACTAATAATCATTTCATTTTTTTCTCACAAAAGTCAAAAAAATTATTTCAAATAAGGCTTTTTAACCCCAGACTAAAATTACTAAAAAGCTAAAAAGTCAACCCATATCCCAACCGAGCTGTGATTATTTAAAAGTTAAGAGAGAAGTGCTTTAGCTTCTATTTTCTCATAATGAATGACCAAATATCTCACGTGGGTGTAGGATCTATAAAAGTGTGAACCCCACACTCATGTGACGTATTTGATCATTTATTTGATAGAAAATTTAGTATCCCTAACATTACCCTTATAATTATTTGATTTACATAATTCTTGTTCCTTCAAGTTTTTAATTTTATAAATAAATTATTCATTTTATTAATAAATATCAAGTTAAATATGAATTTTAATGAGGTTAAAAATATATTTCAATTAACAACTAAAATAATTTTATTATTGTATAAGAGAATAATTAAGAATTTCATTTTTTCTGTTAATTTCGTTAAATAAAATATTTTGAAAAAAAATTTATAATTTTACTGTAGAAGGTAAATGTTAACAAGTACCCTTATATAAAAAATATTTTAAAATGTATTAATTTCAATAAAAATATATTAAAATTAATAAAAAGTATATTGTATTATACAAAAATTGTCTTTTACTTATGAAAAATAAGTGAGAGCACTAATTAGTGCTATCACTAATGATGTGGCAGTGGGTCCCACCAGGAATGATTTGATGTTTTGGCCTTGATGTTGTATTTTTTTTCTTTTTTTATTGAGTGCCATGTCATTAGTGGTCTTTTTAGAGTTTCAAAATTAGTGGTCTCTATCATTATTGTTTACTTATACCAAAAAAACACTTATTAGTAATATCTTTTTGACAACCTATATTTTAAATAGTATATTGGTAATTTATACTTTATTTTATTTATTTATTTATTATTTTATTATAATGTGTTTTTCTCTCTCTCTAGCCGTTCTTATCAGGGTAAGGTTGGTACTCGTTGCAAGGCCATTCGTAAGTACGGCAAATACCTCACCCCACCTCCACAGAGAATATTATTATATCTTTTATTTCCATTTTGACATTAAATTATTATATTATTTTTACGCACAATTATCTATGCCCCCGCTTATCACCCCCAAAATATTATTGTTTATTATTACATTCTTCATTAATTAATCTCAACTAATTAAAAATTCCACAAATGAAATTTTATTTCTTAACAATGTTAAATATTACCATGGTTATTTAAACTTTTAAGTTTTACTTTCCTAGATGAATCAGAAAATTAAAATAAATAAATAAATAAATAAACAAATTCACTAAAGATATAAAAATTTTAAAAAAAATTGATAAAAAATTAATTTTTTAAGTTTTTGTGACTTTTTGACTTTTTGTATTTTTTTAACTTTTTTGTGTTAAAAAAACTAATTTTTTGTGTAAAAAAATTAAAAAGTCAAAATATTACTAACATTTGTGAAAGTTCCCAAAACACCTATTAGTTTTTATTTTATTAATAATTGACACATTTTTTAAAAATTACTAAAAATAAAAAAAAATTAAGAAAATAAATTTTTTAAACTAAGGTCAAGTTTGGAAAGACTAAATAAGTGCACTTTTTGACTTTTTATAAAATATGGGTTGGGTTTGAGTTGAGTTGAGTTTGAAGTGATGTGTTAGAGAGGTGATGTGACTTAAATAAGATGATGTGATTTAAATAGGATAATGACTTTTTGACTTTTTAAATTTTTTAAGAGTTGCCAAACTTAACCTAAATGTCAAAGGAGGCTTCATATTTTAGCAAACTAAAAAGTGATCGATTTTTATTTTTAAAAAAAAAGAATACATCTAATTTGTATTTAAAATGATGACAATGACTCATCAATAATTCGAATACTTGGGTTAAAAAGATGTTCGTACTGTCCGCACTTGAATATGTCCTTCCTCACATATTTGCTCCACTGGATGAGCTGGTTCCGCGTATGACCCAAACATTGAGATAATGATTTTTTGAATTCCCCAAACTACCCCTACTCTCTCTCCCTATTTACATTCCATCCTTTCTGTCCTTTCCCGTACTCTCTCTCTCTATCATTGCCATCTAAAAAGACACTAATACCCCCCTCCTCAATTTCGAAGACCTTTCTAACTTTCTTTGATTTGTTCTATCGGAATTTGGTTGTCAAACAAATAATATAGAATCGGGTTTCTTAGTTATCTACTTTGACCAACGACTGACTGATTCATGTTTAGTTAAAATTACTAATAAAAGTTACTTCCAAGTTTGTAACATGTCAAATTATTAGCTATTTGACCAAGTTAAACACAATTAGTAACTAAATTGATAAGATTTTGTTAGCGTGAGTCATTAAGAAAAATGTTTAGATGTTCGAAAATATTGTATATTATTAAAAAAATGAATATAAAAAATGTACAATGTCTTTTAAACTTTGTTAGGAATTGTTTGTGATAATCTAAATAATTATACTTTTTGATTTTTTATGAAAAGATATGTAAAAAATAGAGAGGTGATATGAAGAAATAAAAAAAATAAAAAGTGCACTATTTTAAAGGATGCCAAATAATCCCTTAATATGTGTCTTATAAATACACATTAATAAAATCCAATTGATACATCAAATCAAAATAGAAAATTAAAAATACTAAAGACCGTCAACTTTGATATACGTGTAAAAAATTGTATAAATTAGTGTAAAAATATAATAAAATATATAAAAGTATTAAAGAATATGAAAAAATGTATGGAGATTATAAATATTTTATTTGTATTGACCTAAGTAGCATGACCCTTTAATAATTATTTGTGATTTTTTTAAGTTTTTGTATTTTTTTTACATACTTTTAGAATCTCCTAAATTTTTTAAGGGTAAATTACAAATACACTCCTTGAGATTTACTTAAAATACGAATTATCTCCTGTGATTTGGAAAATTATAAATACCTCTCTGTCAGAATTTTTTATTTAATAAAATTAATTGAAAAAGTAAAATTTCTAACTGTTTACTTATATAATAATAAAATTATCTTAATTATTAATTGAAATAAAATTTTAACATTATTAAAAACTGTTAATTAACTTGATGATTTATTAACAAAATGACCTATTTGTTATGAAATTAAAAACCTTAGGGGGTATAATATAATTACTAAAATCACAAAGAATAATTTATAATTTAAGTAAATCTCAGAAAGTGTGCTTGTAATTTATCCATTTCTTAAATTAAGTCAAATTTCAAAAAATAGAAAAGGCAAAAAAACTTGTTAAACCAGGAGCTTTCAAAATTGACTTTAACTGAATATTATAGCGAACACTTCTACAGAATAAAATAATGGTTGACACGGTTTGAAAGTTAAACTATATATTCTAACCCTAATATAAATAAATAATAAATTATGTTTACAATTGTCTTATAAGATATCATTAAAGAATAAAATAATTAGAAACTCAATGAATTTTTTACTTATTTCCAAATATTTACATAATTTTACATATAATTTTCATATTTTTATCCAATTTTTTACATGTCCATGACTAGCCAAAGAACAATCATAAACATTTTTCAAAAATAAATCTTAGGGTTCCTTTGGAATGTGGATTGACTTTTTAACTTTTTGACTTTTTTAACTTGGGGCTCAAAAGTATCGTTTAAGATAAATTTTTTAGTTTTTTTGACTTTTGTAAAAAGAAAAATGAAATGATTATGATTTGGATGTAATATTTTGTCTTATTGACTTTTTAGCTTATTTTATCTTTTTGTAGCTAAAATAATCAAAAAGCTTTTTGGCATGCTAAATGAAGGTTTAATTGATATTTTTTCAATTTTAGAGCTGTTGAAAGAAGTTGTTTGGAATGACTTAAATAAGTGTACTTTTTGTCTTTTTACGAAAAGATGTACAGAAAAATAAAGAGGTGATGTGATAGAAAAAAAGATAAAAAAATAAATTATTTTGTGTATGTCAAACTTGGCCTTAATTTAGGTCATCTCATTCATATTTTTAATTTTTTTTTAGTTGGAAAATGCTACCACATAATATGCAATAATAAAAATTTTAAAAATCAATAGGAAATTTTTCTAAAATTTGCTACTAACCTTTGTAGTCTAGAGAGGACCATTTTTAACTTGTGCAAAACAAACTTATCTTGGGTTGACGTGGAGACATCCGAGGGGCAACTATGTCCTTACGTAAAAGTGTACCACCGTACCAAACTTTTGGAAAAAGCCAACAAAAGGGGTAGTGTAGTAATTTCAAGAATATTATTCATTTCTTCATCCTCACTCAGTTCTCAACTGCTCGATCCAACCCAGTGTTTTTCTATTAACGGTCACTTCTAAATTCTCCAACATCTATCTCAAATACCCACAGAAAAAATCCCCAAAAAAACCACCATTCATTCTTCAATTTCTCCTTCAAAATCTCCAAATCCCAACCTATCTCTCAGTACAGTACCCTTTTGTTTATAACTCACTCTCAAAAACCAATCTTTAGATCCACAAATTCAAAGATTTTGAGTTGTTTGAGAGCAATGAAGAAGCAAAAATCAAGCAATGAATTTGTTGGGTTCAACCACTTCGATCTTATCTCCGAAGAAATCGTTTTCTCAATCCTTGATTGTCTCAGTGACAACCCACTTGACAAGAAAGCATTCTCTTTAGTCTGTAAATCGTTCTTCACAATCGAGTCTCGGCATCGCAAAGCCCTGAAGCCTCTTCGTTCAGAGCATTTAAACAAGGTTCTGAATCGATACCCTTACGTGACCCATCTCGATCTCTCTCTATGTCCTCGAATCACCGATAGCTCGCTCTCGATTATATCGTCTGTTTGCAACAAAATGTTGAGGTCGATTGATCTTTCGAGATCCAAGTTCTTTACCCATGTGGGTTTGTTGAATTTGGTGATGAAATGTTCGAATTTGGTTGAGATTGATCTGTCGAACGCTACGGAGTTGAGTGACCAAGCTGCTGCCGCGATTGCAAAGGCCAAGAATTTGGAGAAGCTGTGGTTAGCAAGGTGCAAGTCGATTACGGATATGGGTATTGGGTGTATAGCTGTTGGGTGCAAGAGGCTGAGGTTGATTAACTTGAAATGGTGTTTGGGTGTTGGTGATTTTGGGGTGGGCTTGATTGCTGTCAAGTGCAAAGAGATTCGAAGTTTGGATCTTTCTTACTTGCCGGTAATTTTATTTTCTCTTCTTTCAATTAATATGCTTTGTGATTGTTATGAGCTCTTATCTGTACTCTAGGTATTGCAATTTTCATGCCTTGTTGTATATGTTTCTCTATATATGTGTAGTTAACTATAGCTATTTCATTGACCTTAAATCAAATTATGGTCTCAAGTCTATGTTTGTGGTGTGTGTATGATTGGTGATTGTGTTTTTTGTTTGAAATCATGTAGTTTTTATTTGGGTATTTTGTTGCTTAACTGATTGATTGAGCAGGGTGTTGGTATTATCTTGCTTTTTTATTTTGATTTTTCACTCTTGTGGTTTTGTTGAGATGGATATTGGTTTTGAGGAGATGTGTCAACATAATATATGTTCATGTTGGAAGTATTCTACGATGGCTGCTTCTGTTAAGAATTTTTAATCTTTTTTTGTAGTTTAAAGATAAGGCTATATTCATGTCAGACCTGTGTCAAACACTTGCACAAATGCTATGCGCCTTGATGCACAACGAACTTGTGTCTAGCTGTCTACAATTTTGAAATTAGATTATGTAAGTTTGCACGTTGATGGGTAGATGCACAGGAACATGGTTTCATTTTTTTCCTATTGTTAGTGTTCTATAATTTAGAAGTGTTTTTATTTGTTTGGCATATTTGTTGCATCTCAAATGATCCTAAAAAAAAAATTAATAGCAATGAAAGATGAATGCTTGTTGTATTTGTTTGGTTAGCTATATTGTGCTATGCCATATGTTGTGTTGTAATAATCAATGAAGGATGCACAATTACTAAGTACTTGGTTGGGTTTAAATGAAAAAATCTGTTAGAACTGCGGCTTTGTTGCTCCAACACGTGTGATATTTTCACTCTAGCATCAATCCTATTTTCCGTTGCTTTTGTTTTATATTTGTTTCTTACCTTCTAAGTTCTGATGTGATTGCCTTGCCTTGTCTTGTGGTGTGTACAATCAATAAGTATTTTTATGACGACAAGCACCTATTACAATAATTTTTATGTGTGCGCGCGACACTAGCGGCATGTGCTATGTAAAAAAAAACCTTTCTTGATCCTTTTTCCCCTGTTTTCTTGGCGTGCAGATCACAAGCAAATGCTTACCATCAATCTTGAAATTACAACATCTGGAAGATTTGGTTCTGGAGGGATGCTTTGGTATCGATGATGACAGCCTTGCAGTCCTTAAACAAGGGTGCAAGTCACTAGAGGTATCTATCTTTGGAAAACATTGAACTTCTGATGAACTCTTCTCATATCCATTCTTAAGTGAAAATAAAAATAGAATTCAAGATCTAGATCTTTAAGTTTAACTATTGAAAAGTCTTAAAGCACTACAATTTAGCTACCTAAAGATGTTTGGTTTAAAAAAAAAGTTTCATTTCCATCCAGTTGAACTTTAATTTCTGGTTCTTCAAAAATAATTGTTTGATCACGGACATATAAGTTTATGATGTCTTTTACAGATGCTTGATATCTCAAGTAGTCAAAATGTGAGTCATGTGGGATTGTCTACTCTAACAAGCGGTGCTGGACGTCTGAGGCAACTAATATTAGCATATGGCACTCCTGTAAGTCTCAACTCCTTTGCCTTCATATATTGAAGCTTCTTTTTTTTTTTAAATAAAAAATATTGAGGCTCATTGTCTACAATTGATTGTGGTGCAGGTCACTCTTGCTCTTGCTGATAGATTGCAAAAGCTTCCCACATTGCAATCAATCAAACTAGATGGTTGCCTGGTTACATGTTCTGGACTGAAGGCCATTGGAAATTGGTGTGTATCGCTGAGGGAGATAAGCTTAAGTAAATGCTTGGGTGTCACCGACGAAGGTCTGTCCTCCCTTGCGACAAAACTCACAGACTTGAGGAAGCTAGACATCACATGTTGCCGCAAAATAACTTATGTTTCAATTGCCCAAATTACGAATTCATGCACTTCCCTCACGTCCCTCAAAATGGAGTCATGTAGCCTGGTACCAAAAGAAGCTTTTGTCTTGATTGGACAACGTTGCCATTTTCTTGAAGAGCTTGACCTTACTGATAGTGAAATTGATGATGAAGGTTTGTCCTTGTGTCTGTCTGCTTTTTAGTTCATAGTTGAATTGCAATATTTGTTGCTTACTAACGCTATTTGTGTAAACAGGTCTGAGGGCCATCTCGAGATGTTCCAAACTCTCCAGCTTAAAACTAGGAATCTGCCTTAACATAACTGACGAAGGACTTACCCATATCGGCATGGGCTGCTCGAAACTCAAGGAGCTTGATTTGTACAGGTTTGTGACTTGAATTGAAATCTTTCAAATTGTCAGAAATTGTTTACTAAATAAGTAGTCATTACGGCTGAAATCAGTCTCCTCTCTCATAAAGTGGCCCTCTCACCGGCTTTTAGGCTGTGAACCTAGCGGTATCAGTCTTTAAAGGTCAAAGAGTATATCCTTGTATAATTATTGTGTTCCACTAGAGGCTTGATTTTAGACCCCCTTTTATGTCATTTTGAAAGTTCCAAGAATCTTTGATATGCTTCATTATTGCTCCAAATTCTTTTCTTAGTGGCACTACTTTTGATTCTTTCTTCTTTTTTCCCCTTTCTTCTTTTCGTAATTTATTTGATTGTTGCTCAGGTCATCGGGAATAACAGACTCTGGCATCTTGGCAATTGCTCGTGGTTGCCCTGGCCTTGAGACGATTAATATAGCCTACTGTAACGATATTACTGACAGTTCCTTGATATCATTGTCAAAATGTTCGAAGTTGAACACGCTTGAAAGTCGAGGATGTACCCTTGTTACATCTTTAGGTCTAGCAGCTATTGCTGTGGGATGTAAGCAACTCACCAAGCTAGACATAAAGAAATGCTACAAAATCAACGATGCTGGCATGATTCCACTTGCTCACTTCTCTCAAAACCTCAGACAGGTACACACATTCTCTCTCTCTCTCTCTCTCAAAATCAAAGGTTGAAAGGAGACATCAGTGTCTAACAATGTGTCTATTCTCTTTTATATACAGATGAATTTGTCGTATAGCTCAGTCACGGATGTGGGGCTCTTGTCGCTTGCCAGTATCAGCTGCTTACAAAGCATGACTATCTTGCACTTGAAGGAGTTGACTCCAAGTGGATTGGCGGCTGCACTGTTGGCATGTGGAGGGCTCACAAAAGTGAAGCTTTTGGCATCATTTAAATCATTGTTACCACGACCTCTTTTTGAACACTTAGAAGCCCGGGGATGTATTTTCCAATGGAGAGATAAAATGTTTCAGGTATGTCTTATTTCTATCTCTCACACGGTCCAGCTAACGTTTTTCTCATGTCGGGTTTTTTTCTTCTTCTTTTTCTATAAGATTTTTGAGATTTATCTTTTTATGTGATTAGCAGGCTGAAATAGACCCGAAGTGCTGGAAATTACAGTTAGAAGATATGTAATGAATTGTTGAAGCTTTTGGCGAGGTTGTAGGTTTCCTCGTCTGTTGTACACCACCATTGAGAAATGCAAAGGTCTATTGTATTTGGGAATGTGGATTTGTTCATCAAAAACTTGATGATGTAGTGATCTATGCTGAGAAAATTTGGCAGCTCTTCTGAACAAGAGCTATATGCTATGTAATTTTTATTTTTATTTTCTTTAAATCAGGGCCTGCAATCAAGGTCACTGAGAAGTTCATGAAAGTATTTGGAAGAAGAATCATAATGTTATTCTGTTGGTGGTTATTGTAATTATGTATCCATTCTCAATGTTGTGTTGTGTTGTGTTGTGTGTGCATTGGCTGACAATTGTGGTTTGTAGGTAATTTACTTGTGATATTTGATCAGATGGTCCTTTCTAAGTAGGTTACACAATCACCTTTGACCGCTGTGGACCACATTCCTTCACCACCGCCCACCGGCAACCCTCTTCAATCAACTCATCATCTATTTTCAAAACAAGTTTTTAAAAATATGTAAAAGTAAGAAATATAAAAGGTTTTATTTTGATTTTTATCGTCTTTTAGATTTTACTTATAGGTCTTAAGCCCCCCCTATTTTTTCAGTTAATGATAATGCTTCTTCCAAAACCTTTCTCAAAAACCTTCCTCATAATGGAAATTGTTACCATTGTTTTTATTTTATTTTTTATATTTGATTCTAGGACTGTCAGGAAGACGAATTTGCTATGAGAGTGAAGCTCCACTTGTTTATGCGGAAAATTTTTTATACCAAAAATAACTTTTTTTCTGGAGTTTTTCTTTTTCAAAACGCTCCATTAGTCATCAAGACAGTATAGGGACATTGGTAAAATTTTAATTTAAAAATATTTATTCACTCATTCAAATAAATTTAATTTTTATTGATCATAAAAAATATTTTCTATAGTATCAAATGTCAAGATGTAGAAATTAAATGTTAGAAATAAATTCAAAGCATGGTATTTTTGCTTAGATGCCTCAAAGGATTCAACATTCTTAAGATGGTATTAAACTTGGATTTTTGTTAATTTTGCAAGTCAAGTTTTCAGAATGTGTTATTTTCATGCTATTATTCATTATATTTTTTCATATTTCATCTTGTGGATCTCATTCTGGATCTATAACGATTTACAAAATAAACAATTCAAATAATTGTCGTAGACCTAACATTCCCAAAAGTCTTCAGCTTACTCTTCACTGGTTTATCTCCCTATCACCATATAATCCAAACACTGGTTTTGGGTTGAATATCTTAAATTCAAACACTGGGGATATATAATCACATGGGGGACACCCTCTCTTTTGGGACATGGTACTGTACATTTCCATTTTTTCTTTTTCTATTCTGAACTGCTGTACATATCCATGTCATCATGTCTGTCCAAATCATTGGGCCCATTTCGGGGCCCAGACCAATGTTCCAGCCCATATTTAGGACCTCTCTCATTTTGTTTGGTTTTTGGATTTAAGAGGGGATTTAGGAAGAAATTTTTTTTTTTTGTGTATAAAATACAGTTATATTTTATATACATTTCATTTTTTTTTTTTTTTTTTTTTGGTGTCTAAACTCCTTCCCAAATCTACAAACCAAACACAACGGCTTGTTTTGAGAATTAGGGAAAAAGTTAATTTATTAGTTTTTTTGCCAACTTTTTAAAAAAAATATAGAGGTGATGTGATCCAAATAAACAGTTAGCGAATAAACTGACTTTATTTCCTAATTACCAAAATAGGCCGTAATGGAGAATGTTGAATGCACTTCCAGGATAGCATGATAGGGACAATATATACCATGCCCACCTCCCATGTGAGGTGTTAGCTACAGGCTATTTAATTCAATATGCAACATAAAAAATTAACTAATATTAAAATATATTCAAATTTAATTTTTTAATATAATAAAAAATATTCAAATAATTTTTAATAAATTAAACACAAATTAAATTTCAACAGCTTAATTTGGTTTACAGCTCCACTTTATTATCAAAGTTTACAAGAAGAAGTGACCAAATAACACGATATGGCATGAAGAAAATGGGACATATTTTACTTGCATTGATCATATTAAATTTGAATCCAATTATTTTGCTGCAAAAGTTTTACAAAACCACTCTCAATTTTTGAGTCTACTAGGTCCGTCTTTTGGATGAGAAATATTAGAAATACAGAGATCAAAATGAGATAAAGATGTATCACAAAAGGTAAAATTGACAAGGGGGTGTTTGGGAGGTTGGGTTGGTTAGCTTTGTGATTAAAATAGTTAATAAAGATAAAATATATTAAAATAATTAATAAGACAAAATATCATAACTAAATCATAATTATTTTATTTTTTCTCTCACAACCATCAAATCAACTATAAAAATAAATTAACTATCATCTCAAATATAATTTTTTTTAATTAGGTTAAAATAACAAAAGTCAAAAGGCCAATTAAAATAAGGAAAAATTACCCACAGATCCCATGTAGAACATGTGGACACCATTTAATCCCATAACTTTTTGGGTACACTCAAAAGTCCTTTCCTCCATCTCTCTGGTTTTTTCCTCCCTTTTTACGTTTTCTTCTTTCTCTTTTTTTCTACATTTTTCTCTCATCGTCTTCGTCATAGGCGATGGTGCAAGTGTTCATGTCTTTCTCCATTGATCGGGATTCACTGATAACCGCCAACCATCGAAATCAATTCGTGATTTCACTCTCACTGACGGCGAAGATATATATTTCCGACGAAGAAGATGAGTGGATCTACTTAGATCTGATGTAGATCTACTCAGATCTATCAGAGTAGATCTACATCAGATCTGAGTAGATCTACATCAGATTTGGCTAGATCTAAACAAAAAATAGTTGTCGGAGTATAATCCTCTCTCTACATTCGCCTTTCTCCTTCGATCTCTTTTTTTCTCTACTATACACTTCTGTTTTTCTGTTCTAATAGAGAAAATTTTCGAATTCTGAACAAGTAATTTTCGAGTTTTAGTTACAGGCGGTGAAAACTGTAAAATTTTGCAGTTTCAAAATTTTTTTTTGGTGCTGGAATGAATCATGGTTTAAAACTGTAAAATTTTGCAGTTTTATAACATTCTTTAGAATTGTAAAATTTTACAGTTTCATAAGATGTTTTTTAATTTTTTTTTCCGGCAATATTCTAGACATTCCGGTGAGTCTTCGGCGACTGTTAAATGGAAGTCCGACGGTAGTAAGGTGTGAACAGTGTCTGTAAATTAAAAAAAAAAAAGAATTTTTTTGGTAATAATTAAAAATGTATTGGACTAATTGGTGTAAGTGTTTTGTTTTGGGATTAGCTGGATCTTGAACTTGGTACATGGGACTTATCAGTAAGTTCCCCTTAAAATAACAAAGTTTTCAAACGAGTCCAAGATGTGAGGCCCACATATATTTGATTATCTGTGCACTTAGACCTCGTTTGATATTTGGCTAAAATAGTCCCAAAAAAATCACTATAAATTATCAAATTGTTCTCTCTATTTTTTTTACACATCATTTTATAAAAAGTTAAAAAATCAACTAAAATAAACCATTCTCAAATGAAACCTTACATTTATTGTTCATGATTGTCCATCCTCTTAAATAATCTCCAATTCAGACTCAAATCTTTCATTAAATTTAAATTTGATGAAAATTTGGTAAAAATAGTGTTTCAACCGTTTTACCAAATCAGTATCAAATGAAAGGACTTTTTTCATCAAATCAAGAGAAATCTTTCATCAAATCTCACAAGTGACAACTGGTGGACGACTAAATGGATGACTAGTCGGTCAACCGGATGGACGGCCAAATTAGGAAAAATTTAAAGAAAATTTATACTAGGCTAGACGACCGGCCAGACATCCTCTTGATTTTCCTCTCGATCGATCGGTTCTTTGATAAAAATTAAAAATTTAGCATTAGAACACTTATATCAGATACAATTTTTAACCAAAATCTTCACTCAAAAAAAAAAAAAAAAAAGAGTACACGTTGAAATACTCTTACCAATAAAAATACTTTAATATCCATTTGAATATTTTGTTTTAATTTGGATTAATTAATAATAAACACATTGGTGGGAGAAATTGTTTATTATTTCAGAGACAAATTTAGGTGATGCCCTAACCTAATTATTATTGATTAAAATAGTGAATCTCATTACTTGTGTTTATATCATTTTGGAGTTATAGTTGGACATTTTATCTAACATTTTATTTAATAATAATGATATATAGCTTTAATACTAGAGTTTTAAATGGAGCTCTAGTGAAATAGAAGAGAGAGAGAGAATAGAGAGAGATAGAGAGAGAGGTGTGAGCCCTACCTTTACATAAATGCTCTCCACATCATTAAAACTACATTACAAATCTCAAATTAAAGCTCTCAAACATTATTCTTTATCTAAACATGAATGGTGTATAACAATGGCCCGGTTTGGTAGGGCTTATTTTCAGCTTATTTTAGCTTTTAGCTTAATTTAAGTTATTTTGGTGCACTTGGTTTAGCTTAATAATACAGATTATAACTTTTTGTAAGTCACAAATCAACTTTTTCTTTAACTGTGAGAGGAGAAGCTTTTCCGATTAGCTTAAGCGCGCAGCTACAATTTGAGGGGTAAAATGACTTAAATGCCCCTCACAATTTCAAGTTATTACAAGTGTACTATGTATATAAATCAAAACACACTCATTTTTGTCTCTTGCACGAAGGTGTTCGACGATTTTCAAGCGATTTCCAATAAACCAAAGCTTTTTCTCTTCTCTTCTCTCTCTCGCACCAACCAATGAACCAAAGATCCCTCTCTCGCACGAACCAATGAATAAGAGCTCTCTCTCTGTCTCTGCTACATCCATGGCGCTATACCTAGGGTTTTCGTCGTCGATCTTGGGTTCGGAGGGTGAAATGTCGCCTTAAATCCACACAGATTTCAGATCTATATGGCCTCCTTTGATCTCAAATATCAGATCTATTATATATGTATATATATGAGTATGTGCGTGTGTGTTTGTAGTGTTCAAGAACTTCGTATGAAGTCAGATGGTTGCTGGAGGGATTCGTCGCCAGTGAGGAGGAGATGAGAATGAGAATGAGGAATATGTGATTATTCTTATCGATTGGGGAAATTCATCTTAGTCTGTCCCATTTTCTCTCTCTATGTATTTAGTTTTCAGATCTTTTTTTTTTCCTTTGTTATTGTTGTCCAGTAGATCATCCTTCTCCAAATTTGATTTTTTTTTTATTTGTTGTTGCTGTTGTCCAACAAATATATATATATGGGTGATCATTAAACAAATTCG